GAGTGAGTTTCAAATTAAAATTTTTTTTTTTTTTTCAGTGTTAAGATGACTTCTTTGTCAAGTATTCTTTATTATTTTCGAATGTGTTATATATATTTGGAGGGTATATCTAGTCATACCTGCACTTTTTGAGTGTCTATTTAAGTAGTCTGCCTATTACTAGATTCTACGCTAATTGCTGTACCTGCAACCCAACTAGAGTTACCCATATAAACCCTCTGCGCCTATACTCTGACACCTATGTCAATAGCAACCAATAACTTCATTTTATACATAAAATAAATATTGATTAAATCAATAGCTCTATTATAACTTTAAATATATATAATGCAAAATAAAAACTACTATAAAATAACTATTGTTTTATTACATATATGAAACAATTTATATTAATCATTATCTATATCTTTTAATACCTTATATAGTCTTTTAAAATAGCCATTATGTAATTCAAATGAAACTGATAGTCTTTACTAGTCATTTTCTTGCTGTTTCAGTTTGCTTTTATTTTTTTAGAAATAGCAAAAGCAGTATTAGTAGCTATAAAGTTGGGATTTGTATTTCTGTATGTGGTTAGATCTATATTTCTGGTAGTTGTTAGACTTGTATAATAGCATCAGAGTGCAGTACAAATTTTCTAAAAATGGCCAGTATTATACAGAATTATGCAGATCACAAAGATCATTTTAATAAACAAAAAAAAATAAAAAACACAAAAAATATAGAAACAGCTATCTAAACCTATCTTGATATACTAATAAAAAATGTTAGAAATAAAATTTTATATATAAATATACTTCTAAATCTAATAAAAACAGCTTATATCTAGTGCTAATTAAATAAATATTTCTGAAAAATTTGTATTGCACCATGATGCTGTTGGACTTGTATTGCAGATAGTAGTATTTAGATTTATATTTCTGGTAGTAGTAGTTGGACCTGTATTACTAACAGTGGTAGCTAAACTTATATTGCTAATTGTATTGTTTAAGCCTATATTTCTGGCTGTGGTAGTTGGATTTGTATTTTTGATAGTGATGGTTGAACCTGTATTATTGACAATAGTTGAATTTATATTGCTAAGGGTGGTGGTTAAACCTGTATTATTGGTAGTAGTTAGATTTGTATTGCTAAAAATGGTGGTTGAATCTGTATTATTGGTAATAGTTGTTAGATTTGTATTGCTAGTAATATTATTGCTAGTAGTATTATTGCTAGTAATATTATTGCTAGTAATATTATTGCTGGTGATAGTATTGCTAGTAGTAGTATTGCTAGTAGTAGTATTGCTAGTGGTGGTAGGATAAAAATTGTTTATTTTATTTCAAAGTTTGTTAGACCAAAATGTTTAAGCAGTTATAAAAGACCAGTAGTACTGGTGGTATTAAATATTTTATTATTTTAATAATTGTAGTCATTATTATTATTATCTTGTATATTTGGAGTTAGAGTTCAGAATATCTTTTTAGTTTTTTTACTTCTTTAATTATAGAACTAATAGTATCTTTTATAAAATTTATATCTAGTATTATAAAATAACTGTTAGATTTATTTGTTCATCAATAGCTTTATAAAAAAAAAAATTATTAAAACTTGTGATAATAATTTTTGCTAATTACAAGTTTCAGAAAGCATTATAAAATTTTTATAGCCTAATTTTACTAGCTTTATTTTTGTTTAGTGATCTTGTAACATACTTAGAATATTTATTAGTTCTATTATTTGCTAGAAATCTAAATTTGAACCTTGTTTTAAACCTTCTCTTTTGGCTTTTCAACAGTTAATTGTTTTGGTTTGGTGATATTGGTACTGTCTGTCAATTGTTTTAATTATTTTCATTAGATGTTGTTGATTGTTTTGAGTTGATATTGAAGAGTAATTGTAGTTTTAGCTTGAATGATATATCGAGAAGTGATTGCAATTTTGGCTCAAATTAACACTGCAATAAGGAGATATAGAAGGTAAAATAGAATAGTGATATAATACAATATTTTTTTATATAACTTTTTGCTTTGCATTTTTTTCAAAAAAGAAGTATAGAACCAAAAATATTAGGTGAAACAAAAATATCAAGGTTTTTATTAATATCAAGATTTTTGATTGTTTTATTTAAAGAAAGAAAAAGCAAAAAAAAAGTCAATTCTTATTTATAAATTTATCTTAGGCTAAATATATAATATATTTTTTCTTTTTTTCTATATCAGCAGCCTTACCAATATCTTTATTAGATCAAAGCTAATATACAAGTATATTATTAAACTATTTAAGTTACATATCTGACATCACTCAGCTTCTCTTATAGATACTCAATTGCGGTTTGCCTCACTAGTTAAAACTATTGTCTGTGCTAATGGGCTATACCAACCTAGCTAGTAAAACTATAACAATATAGTTTCAAATCAAAAGAATTTTTAACTATATCTAATTGGCAATCTTCTTTTTCTAAACTATTTTCCTTTTTAAAACAATATTCTAAAAGTGCTAACAGATATTACATAATATTTTAGAGAGAGGAGGTTAGCCAAAAGTCTTATATTATACTTATATATTATATATAATATATATTATATATATAAATAATATATAATTATTATTATATATACAGTCATCCTCCCATATAATCACCCAATTCATCTAGCACTTTTTGGTGTTCATATAGAGGGGTGATTAAATAGAATTAATGAAGTTACCTCTATATAATCAAATAATATAGAATAATTAAAATAATGTGATTTTAAAAAAGTAAAATAATATAAATTTTAAAGTATCTATTAAATAGAATAAAATTTGTTATTTTTACTCAAACTTTGACGATGGATATCTTGATAACTATTAATTTAAATCGACTCAAATTTTTACTATATATACTGTAGATAATATTCTATTATATATAAAAATTCTAGCTGATTTAGTCTAGTAGCTCTCGAGTAATCAATTGTATACAATAGTCAATTTTTTTAAAACAATTGACTATCGTAAACAATCGATTACTCGAGAGCTACTAAACCAAATCGGCTAAAATTTTTATATATAATAGAATAATT